AAGGTTTAGAACATATTTGACCATGTGACCTTGAAAAAAGATGAATACCATTCATTTGAACAAACTTTATAGCCCTTCATCCCAGCATGCTACTAGCCAAATATCATCACCCTAGACCTATTGGTTATTCAGAAGAAGTTGTTAAGTGTTTAAAACATATTTGCCCTCTGTGACCTTGAATGTAAGTCAAGGTCATTTATTTGAACAGACTTGGTAGCCCTTCATCCAAGCATATTACTGCCCAAATATGATCACCCTAGGCCTCTCGGTTATTCAGAAAAAGTTGTTTAAAGGTTTTAAACATATTTGACCCCTGTGACCTTGAAAGTGGGTCAAGGTCATTTATTTGAACAAACTTGGTAGCACTTCATCCCAGCATGTAACTGGCCAACTATCATCATNGTTGACGCCGGACAGACGGACGACGGACGGACGACAGACGCCGCACCATAACATAAGCTGACTTGCCCTTCGGGCAGGTGAGCTAAAAATTAAATTAAATCCCCAAAGAAATATTTTGCTTTTACATTATGTTTTTTTTCAAAAACTCAATTGTGTTCCTTGTTGTCCTTTATTATTAAGAAGATATTTTGATATTTTGTACAATCAAGTCTGCTCAAGTTATTTTTCAAGTTTACAGAACCTGTCTGAAGAGACCAGTTATTTGACTGCTTGAAGGTGGTCTCTGTATACAGGTTTTCATTTTCATTATTAGCAAATCCAATACACAGTGTTAACCATGAGCTTTCTAACAGAGAAATGATCAGATCTAGCTTTATACATGTGTATCAAACACAAATTCTCAACATTTTATAAATACAAAAAAGCATTATTTTGAAACCATAAGGGTCGTTATTGAAGAATTAAGTATTAAGATATTCGGATGAACATCATAAGGTCATGTGGGCCTAGCCTCAGATGTCCATACCATCTCGTTGCCATATTCAAAACCAATAAAATTTGTAGAAATTGAAGGTCATGTGACAAACTATCATCCAATCAGGTATATTCGTTCCTGTTGCTGACTTTACCTGGTAGATGGCTCCCTATGTGGTAGATTTTATAGGTGTATTGACCGTCTCCCCCGGGGCCGTCAGTGTACGGTTCATTAGTCAGGATCTCCACCCCACTGCCCTCTCCATGACTTTCCTCTCGACTTTTTTTCTGAAAAAAAAAAAGTCATGAGAAGATTTCTGAAGAACAGTATAACCATTCACCCCTGAAATTTCATAATGAACTATTTCAACCTTTGAATGAGAATTAAGAGTTCAAATGTGTCGTCAGGGTATGAGTTAAGCATTAGATGGAATGTCAGATAGTTTTCACGTTAAGTCTATCTTATATATGCACGAGATTTATAAAGTTACCTTCCTTAAAACTCTTTTAAACAAAGCAGATTACTGAGAGCAATTCATAGCTTCTACTCAACTGAGTCTCCCATCCTATGACAAACCTAAATATCAAAATAAATGAAGAGCCATAATTCTGTATATAGTGGAGCACAAGGCCCACCATTCCAAGAGTTCTAGTACACACAATCTAGCAATTGTTAGTGACACAGTAAACCAAATATGTCCCTGAGTTATTGAACAAAGGGCCATAACTCAGTATATTTCAGGGTAACACACCCTATTTAAGCACATATTGCTCAGCTATCCTAAGAGGCACTCACATTCAAATTTTGGTAATTGTTAAGGTAACATGACTCAGAAAAAATTAAGCAGATGAACCAAGGGCCGTAACTCTGTATATAATAGGACACCATACCCTATTTTAATATACCTTTCCATTGTGTCATCAATATCTGTGCATCTTTAAAATATGTCATCCATTCTTGTGTACCCTTTAATTGTGCAATCAATTACTGAGTACCTTAAACGTATAGGGCTGGACAATAATGGTTACCCGATAGTCTGATACTAGTGAAATCTCCAGCTGGACTAGAGGTTATTGGAACTCAGCTAGCCAAACTGACTAGTCAAAACTTGATACAATTTACATGTATTACTCATCATGTTTAATAATATTGGGTAACTAAAATTTGAACATATATTGGTAAAAACTGGAAAGTACCAGCCTGACAGACTACATTAAAAAAAATAAAAAAAATGCTAGCCCTGTATCACATTTAAATATGTCATATCCAGTTCTCCAAAGAAAATTATCACTGAAGAATTCTTTTGGAAAGAGATTAATACTACAACAAAGCAGCACGTGTATTCCCTTAGGGGTACTTTAAAAATCCCTGTCCGACTGCAGAGTGGTTTTCTTACATGCAGTAACCTCCCATTAGCTTCCGGTTAGATATACCCTAACTGTAGAACAATTAGACCAAGACACTAATCCATCGACTATGTAGCTCAGTCGGTTAGAGTAACAGTTTACCAGTTTGAAAATCAGTGTTCGAATCCTGGTCTAACCCTGCAATGTTATTTTTTTTATATACTCTGATCACTCTTGTTGATTATACTGTGTTTATTTCATCTTAATTATTTCTCATAAAAGTCCTGCATTTTTTTTTTTTTTTTTTTTCAAAAATGATTTATCAAAGCTATAGTTATGCCGAAAAAACCCAGTTTCCGACACTTAAATTACAGATTTGGGCTGTGGTACATGAATACCTAAGTGTATACCATTTCCCTACCTGTATCATGTAGAGCTGGGCAATGCGATACTCGTCTACACTCATCGGCAGACCGATTCGGTATTCCTTGATCAACATGATGGCGGTTGTCTAAATCTCTGGAACCTACTATAGATGAAACATGGTCGACACCAGACTTCAGTGTATAATTGTTTTGCCTGTTTCTCTACAATGGTAGAGAGCCCACATCTTCCTGTACTTCATTCTGCTCCTGAAATTTTGAAAATTTCCAGAAAATAAAAATACATGTAAACAATCAAACTTGGTATAAGGTTTATTGTTGGGACAATGTAAACTTCAAATTAATTCAATTTACACATGTCTAACCAGTGAAATACAGAGCATTTATCAATCTGGTAAATAGAGGTTCCCCAATGAGTGAGGGTTGGTTATCTTGTTTATCAAACTAGAGTTTGTTAATTTTCAAACTGTATAAAGACACAAGGTTTACCAAATGTCTTTTAGAATTTGAAAATAACCTAACGAGATCGAGTTAGATAACAAGAGGCACAGAGGGCCTGTATCGATCACCTGGATATGTTTAAAGTACTTGATATGAGGTACAGAAATAGCACTCCATGGTAGGTAGTGTATATATGCATCCAGTATTTCTGGAGATATAGCGAGAACAAACTTCAAATGTCAAATTCCAAAATGGCGGCCTGGTGGCAATCTTGTTTTAATGAGTACACCTTAATAGTAACAGGCACTACTTGACAACTTGATGGAGACAAAATTGGGATAAAATCTCGTAATCCCTAAGGTAGAAGAAGGATTTCAAAGGTTTTGCCTCTATTTCCCCTATTGGGCCCAACCCCTCTGCCCTGGGGGTCACACCCACTGTTTATACAAAATTGAGTCCCCTTGGCCAACGGATGATCCAGAATAAAGTAGGATTTTATATACCGCGTGTCCCGTCTCTATGCTGAAACACAACAAAAATTAAGTTCCTCTATATGTCTGGATCGTGATGAAGTTTATAATAATCCGTGTAAATTTAGTTTTCTAACTTTGGGTCAAAATCGTGAAATTTTAAGCCAGTGTAAATACCCCATTAAACTGTGTAAGACCACTCTTAGAACACTCCTGATCTGATGCAGTTGTTTTTATATTAACTGAACCTGCATTAAGAAACCACTGCAATTGGAGACCACGTTATGGAGGACTTAACAAAGGGCAGCACCAAATACGCCATCTGTCATTTCATCTAGTAATATCATGAAAAAGCATTCATTTCGCGGAAAAAATAGAAATATATTCGCTAAAATTACTAGATAATTACGTTAATGTCATTTTTGATATTTTGATAACAAAAAATTTCTGTGATCTTCAGCCAAAAAAAACGGTCACACAACCAACATAATTCTGATATATGAAGCAGCCATTTTATCTAGCCATAACTCCCTCGTGGTACAAATGTCATCGAAATACATTGTATACGGAAACCAATCTTGTTCGTAAATATCATCATGTTTTTATATCATTAATATAATTGCTGTTTTTTTCAATTTCATAATTAATTTCCTGATTATAACTAAAATATTAACACTTTTGGTAAACAGTGATGTTGTCACATTTGTTAGAGATCATTATACATTTAATTATTAATTCATAATATTTAGAATATTGCATAATTTGTAAATGTTCCACTCTGTGTGCATGACAGGTGTTTGATTATCAATTTCAGCATATGGTGGGCGTCGGCTAGGAAAGTGTGTGTGTGCGTGTGTGTGTGTGCCACAAATTATTTGGGAGAGAAATGCGACCTAAATAATCAATACTATAAATATTCCTTTTCGAAAGTTTTTTCCCCCAAGAAAACAAGGAAAATCTCATGATTTTTGGGATTTTTTTCATGGAATATATGAGAAATCTTTTTTGGAACATAAAGATTTTTTTTCTTTCTAATATCTAGATTTTTTTCTTTTTTCCTGAATTGGATAAACAGAAAATATTTTTTTATTGAATATATGGAACATCCTTTAACAGGAAAACAAGAAATAAGAAAAAATGAAAAATATTTTCTGGAACATGTGGAGAGTCTGTGAATGATCATTAATATCTAGAGATTGTTTGATTGGGATGCATCCTAAAACTATATATCATTTATAAATGACAATTTCTGTAGTGTTGCCATAATTCTGGAAAACTTTTAATGGAAGTATCTGGATTGAAAGTGAAGTTCTATTTATCACATAGTGTACTGTGTTATCCAGTGAATATACCCATGTAATATATGTTTTTAGCATATTAATTAACCCAAGTAATATGACCTATCAGCCCTGTGATTGGTTGTAAGTTTCAATTGTGACGTCACGCCTACGACAAGTACATGACGTCATAGACTTAATAACGCACTGGAGTCAAAATGGCAGCTTTTTACATTTCAAGGTTGCATGAAAATTGTCGTTTTACACGAATAATTGCAACAAATCTTGATGATGTGATAAAAAGGATCTTACACTCGTTTTCATTTCATATGAAATTGATGAAACTTGTCACAAATTTTTCATTTTAGCTCGCCAGAGGCTAGAGGCTCGTTAAATTGAAAAATTCTTAGACTCGCGTCATTAATCTCATGAAATGGAATCTCATGTACGATCCTTTATATGTATATTAATAGGGATATGGAAGCTGACACAGCTGTTCTTTCCATCAGGGTCAGTTCATGTTCTATAAAACAGCCCACCAAAGATTACATGGTGATTTAAATGTCTGGTAACCGTTGCTTTTGCCAGAGGATCACTCATTTGTGCTGAAGCTTGAAGTTAGATTTGGCTACAGAACTGTAGCATGAATGTTCACCTAGTAGTAAGGAAGTACAACTATACAATAATAACAAAATATCAAAAATGGCGACCATCTTGGTTTAGGTGGCCATCTTGGAAAAAATCTGCTTGGCCCCATATCCAAAATTGATCAGTACACCATGCCCAACATTCGTTCCAAGTTTCATGCTTCTACTAAAAATCCCACAATTATTCACCAATCCGCTGGACTATAACTCCTGTATAGCTTGGCAAATGAGTTCCAGTCAATAGAATTCATTTCACACCAATGTTCTGTATATACAAAAAATTACAATTTACAAGGACTTAAATTAGACTTAAAACAGTAAAATATTTTTTAGCATTACTTAATTAAAACATTTTTTAATAACTATATATATGTACTAATTTTTTTTTTATTATTTCAGGAAAACTTAGACTACTTCAAACATTCTCAATACACATTTAACACAGTCTTTTATGATATTAGCAGTCTTTATTTTTACTTAGGATCATTTTCAATAACTTTTTTTAATAAATTCATAAAATCATAAGACATAAACTATCTTGATTTTATGTAATAATTAATTATTTCAGACAAATTTTAATACAACAGATACATATACATAATGTTAACAATGATTTGTATGACAATGCCGCTTTATAACATTCAGAGATGGCATTCATTCCGGCTGTGAATGCCATAAGCCGATTGTTGACATCATGTGGTATTGTTCGATACCACCAACCTCCCTTGACAGATGGCTGTTCTATTCATTGTACAAACATATATGATATATATATGCATTAATTGAACGAATTTCTGAAGTTGGCATATTATATTATATAGGCAATTTATCAAAATGCCAACCGGACAAAGGCAAATCCAACATAATTTGCTAGCGTGCTTCATTGAATTGTCCAGTTGGCATTCATATTGCCTATGAATGCCAACTTAAAGCATTTCAATGCTTAAATGTACTAACATGTCTCTTTGATTTGAGACAAAAAAAACAAAACAAAATCCTCAATTTTATTTAAGACAACCATGTGAACATATATAATATAGCAATGCTTATTATCGTGTGAATTCAACTTCATTTTCTAAGTTATTAATTCAAAATTATTTCCTATACCTGCCAAAATTATTTTTACTCACTCACAGTGATTATAATGGACCCCGTTGGAAATAAGCTCCCAAGCTTTCATGGGCTATTCACAGGTTTTAGATCATTATATGTATACTGTGATTTTATTTCTTTTTGAATCTTGCTTAAATTGTTTTATGGACTGAATATAATTTCTGGTAAACTATAGCTGATTTCTTGTAACACACTGTACTAAGTGACCAGTCATTGTTGGCTTGGACTCAGTCTAGTCTACATCGCCATCAGTCTGGGCATTCAACTATGTTATTTAATATGTATTTTTTGTATAATTATCATTGTTATATATATAATGCTTTGTATGCATATAACCATTAATATCCGTGATCTATTAACTGAAATAAATATAAGAGCTATATACACTGATAGAAGCAATTACCTAAAGAATTATTTAAAGACACTGTTTTAAGAGGGCCAATAAAATTAGCCGTAAATGACGCCTGAACACAAACTCTGATTGTAGCCTGCTCGGATTTCAGTGAACTCCTGAAATGTAAGACTAGTGCGTGGTACCAGCAGTTACTGCGGCTATAAATAATAATAATAATAATAATAATAGACTTGATTTAAATTCGATAACACATTGAGTCAATGACTCGTCTCACATGTGGTCGACATAAAATGTACAATATTTACAACATGGATATGACATACACGTACATACATAAGAAATTAAGTAACATATCACAGGTAATAAAACATTGTATTATCTTTAAAACAAAAAACAAAACAACAACACACTCTTGCATCCTGTATCCAATAACAAAACTACGTAATACATATCACAGATATATTGGTATGTGATATCACACAGGCTATATTAGCATAGGATCTATAGAATTTTTGTTTTCCAATAAATAATTGATATATCTGCCAAAGCCTACATCCAAATACCGTACAGTTATTTTGACATACAGAGAGCTGATATATATCATATTATGCTATTTTTTTTGGTATACACGATACATTCCGTTTCTCGTTGTTATATAAATAATATACCTGCCAAGACGATGACATTTGATGTTACACATGATCATTACGTACGTAGACCCAATACGGGCATGATATCCATTTTTGTGCATTGGCAGGTACGTACAGTCTAATTCTCATCATACATGTATATATACGTCACCTGCCAAGATGAATAATACTCAAATATTGCATACATTTTGCCAATGTTTTATTGAACAGTGACAATATTTGTCTGACATGCCAAACTTGAGCACATTTGGTATTTATTAGCTGACTCTACAGGGGCTAGACAAAAAGGGTAGCCC